ACAACTGTTTTCAGACAGCTGCAACAAATAAATAGCTTCCCCGCAGCAGCTTACTGGGCAGCGCAGCTATATCTGAAAAGTTGAGAAGCTACAGCTACCCCAAAATGACCATAAATTTCGGGATTGAAAGAGGCTGCAACACTATATATATATATATATATATATAATATATAATATTTTTTATTTTTTATTTTCAAATAGCTGACATAGTTTTTTTTTTTTAGGGAATAAGGGAGGTTAAAGGTCATAAGATGGAAGGCGGAAGGATGAAAATTAATGCAAATTTTAAATTTTTTTGTTGTTATTTTTTTTATTAATATTTTTGTTTTAATGTTAGGCCTCCTCTTAGGCCTATAAATAAAAGCCACGATGAGGGGACGAGCCACAATTGAGGAAAAGGAAAAGGAGAAAAAAGAGGGCGAGTGGAGAGTGGAGTCTTTAGCTAGCGAGATTTTTTAGAAGAAAGTTCTCACCGTCTAGAGTAGCAAACGAGTATCGGGATATGTTTTTTGCGTTGTGGCCAAGAGGAATGTCATCGTCGTCCTGCGTAGCAGGCGAGATCTTCTTTCGTGTTGCGAACTAGAGGAAGGTCGTCTTCATCCTACGTAGCAGGCGAGCCACAAGACCTTTTTTTCCGTTGCGGCCAAGAGAAAGTCATTCTCATCTTGTATAACATGCGAGCAGCTGGATCTTCTTTCACGTTGCAGCGAAGAGAAAAGTCATCTCCGTTCTGCATAGCGGCTGAGCAACTGTATCTTTTTTTACGTTGCAAAAAGGGCAATAATTGGAGAAACTCATTCCGCTAAGAACAAGAGTAAGGGCTAGAATTCAAAATATGAGGCATCAATTCTGATGGAGAGCGACTTGATTTTATTTCAAAAAAATTATTACTTCTCGAACAACATGATAGTGACATTGTCGACTTCAGCAGTTTGAGCGTGGTCTCTTTCTTCTGGATATATTGTTGTTCATGGGTACTCTCAAGAGTCGGCCTACAATATCCTTCGACAGCTGAGTTTATCGAAATTATGAAGACGTTTGAATTTTGTGTTGCTCAACTGTTTTGTCAGCTGGTGCAATCTTTTATTGGGTTGACTATTCTTTTTAGGGGTCTTGGGTTGACGTTAACACTGTAATTTTAGCGCAATTGTGTGGGTTCTTTAGTGACGCACATGATCATGTGGTGTTTTAATAAATGAATTGGATTTTCACCTGAACGAATCGATAAAACAGTGGTCTGTGTGATTCTTCTTTGCGAAGGATGGTTGAGGGCTCCGTGAGGCGAGAAAGTTTTCAACAGTTGTATGTCTCTGTTCAGACTATTAATAAGAGTATGCTACAAATGCTAGATTTTTGTGACTTCAAGTAGATGTTGTTTGAGACGCAATATAATCATGAATTTGTGGGTGAGGTATCATTGTCTAAGGCTAAACTTTCATTCCACCCAGAGCGATCAACGATTGTAACATTGAAGAAATCTAAGAAGGGACTTTCCGAGCCAGCCCTCGTGGTATCCTCAATTCAATCTCTAACATACAACGACTGTGAATTGCTCTCTCAGAAACAATATAAGAGGGTTAAGAATCGTGGAAGTCCTTGCCTAATCCTTCAACTATTCATATTCCTGAGAATGTGTTGTCTCATGATTGTACTAGGCTCTTGGAGGCCGAGGGCTTTGTAAGTTTCCATAAAGGATATTAGTCATGAGCAAAAACTACAACTAAAGCCATAAAGGTTTAATTAGTGATTGCTCAAATGATGGCCCCATCTTCATTATATATGCCATGAATATTTTTTTATTCATTTCTATCTTTTTCATCTTTATTCATCAACATCTTCAAATGGCTAGCAATAAGTGCCTTCATAATAACTTTTGAGCATCTTTATAAAATTAAAAATATCATGATCTTAAACATTGTGGAAACAAATCTCAAACCCATCCTTCATGATAAATCATTATAAAAAAAGACAAAATGACTTCAATTCAACATCAATGATGCATCACAAACTATCTTAAACTAACTTATTAACAAAACTACTTAACTTGCTAATCATTCTTAAGATCGACATTAGCTGTATTAAAAAAAATTATTAGAACTAATCAATATAATAAGATATTATAAAGAAATTATAGTTTATAATTTGTTATAATGATTGCTTTAGTCAATAAAGTATGAAATAAAATATATATGAACATTCGATATTTAGGAATAGTGCGTCCAATAATTAAAATTAAAAATATTTTAAAATTTTCTTTAGTTGAAGGATATTGATTAGTCAATTATAAAAGAAGCAATCTAATTAAAATTAATTATATTAAATGATCAAATTAGCTACAATTGATGAATATATTTATTTTAGTCAAATTAACATTTTTCAAAAATAAAATTTTCTCCGGTTTAAAATATATTATAGATCAAAATAAATTTTAAATTGTTATTTTTTAAAATAATCTAATATATATAAATAATTAGCCAAAATTATAGATAGACCACACATCTGAGATTAAATTTAATTAATTTTTACTTAAGTTTTATCAAAATTTAGATTAGAGAATTATAATAAATTTTTTCTATAAAAAGGTTTAAAATTAATAAAAAAATAATATTTGAACGCATAAGTACATATAATGGAGGGCGCCTCATATGCCTAGAAAACATAAAAACATATAATTGAGACCCCATAATGCCATGAAACCAATGAATGAAATGAATGAAAACAAAATGTTAAAATCTATAGCAGGTTGTATTATTTTTTCACACACAACATACATTTAGGAGAATACCATGTTAAATGCGAAGTTTTAGGAAAATTAGTACGTACGGCTGATCGTACGCCCGAACGATGGACCATGTCGTTGTGTATCACACGGTAGACTATCTGGACTGTCGTTCAGACGTACAGTGGCCGCAAGTAATAATTTCTCAAAATTTTAGCATAAATGAGGGATAACTAAGAGGAGAAGCCTATATCAAAATCAAACTAGGATACATTAATTTCCAATTACATGAGCCCTATTAACCACATTCAATCGTATGTCAAGCTAGAAAATATAGCTGCGATGAGTTGTTTGTTAAAGGTGTAAAGTATAATTAAATTCTGGAAGATTTGAGTAATCATTAGATTTAGTGCATTTTTATGGGGCCATCAAGTTGATGGTTTGATTCGCTCACCACTTTGGATATAGATTCGTTATTGTTATTCTCTGAAGAAGATGGAATTTAAAATTTTGTCAGGCAATGTCCAGAAACTTCATTGTTACAGCAAAATAAGAGAGTTTTGTTAATCCTGAGTTCTAGAAACCACACAATGTGAAAAATCTCTATAAAAAACCTTTGCATATGTATGTCGAAAATGTGTTAGCGTTAATCCTGAAGAGATCTAACTCTCTAGAGGAGGAGAGTTTGGCAAAAGTGGCCCCACCGATAGAAGGCCAGGAAGCCCACTTATGCCTGAGCCAAGGCAAGCAAAGCTAAAGCCAGCCAAATAATGAAAGATTGGCCCAATGACTTGAATTCAAGCTGTTTGGCTAGAGAAGAGGCAAAGAGGCATGCAAGCCAACTAGCATGAAGAAGCTGACTCAAAGAAAGATCTAGCCCATGAACTTCCTAAATCATATAAAGGGCATCCAAAAGTTCTCTCATCTATCATTAAGGGTTGACAGCCAACCAAACCAGTCCTGCCGATCGAACGATCATATTGTGCCAGAGATCGACCTACCCTGTCGAGCCGGTCACGCAAGCTCAACCAAAGGAGCCAGAGAGCAACCAAAAGATAAGCTCACTATATTGTGCTCTCACCCCTATAAATCGTTAGATTATTTCATGTACAAAGAGAGGGCACATACACTAAATTTTAGCCAAAAAGGTCTGGAAAAGTATGTGATTGTTACAATTTACTGTTCACCTAGTGTTCATTCTTCGCTGTCTCTAATGCTCACAAAAATCAAGTTTGCAGGTGCTCAATCATTTAATCAATCATTTCTTCACCAAAGTTTGAAATGAAGACTCTCCAACATGAGCTAGTTGCATATGTCAATAAACTCAAACAACACAAGCCAGATTTGTTGTCGTCAACACAAAACGCCGCTATGATCATGAAACTGAATCTGTGATACCGATTGTTATGCGAAAATAATGCATAAGCATAGAAATTCACACAATAACAATCAAACACAACAGATTTATGTGGTTCAGTGCCTACGTCCTCAAGAAGCTATATTCCACCGGTACAAAATGGGGAGAAAGAAAACAGACTTGGGTTCAACTTCCACACACCGCTCCTCACTCTCATAAACACAAAGTCCTCTTTTACCTAGGAGGCTTAAAGTATATAAAGAAAAAAAAAAGAAAAATAAAAACAAATCAATTATAATAAATTCATTAAATACAATATAATTATCATTTTCTCTATAAATATAAATAGTATATCTCCTATGACAAATCCGGATTCATGAATTACATTCATAAATTTATAGTCATGCCAGACCATGATGACATGCCCCCAACCCACATGGTTAATCATTATTTATTGATTCAAAACTTTCAATTAGGCAGATTCCCACAGGCGCCGTGGCATGAAATTTAGAGATCTGAACAATATCACCAGCGTGCATGCTTGTACCATACACCGATGTGTGCACCGCGGCGGGGCCAGCAAGCTTTCCCATGCGACGGCAAGTTCAAACAGTAATCATCTTTATCGATCCATACAAATTTAAAAGTTAGCTACCACAAGCAATTGAGTGGCTAGCTTGACTTTTAGACATTTAGCACCACTGTAATGAAGCTGTTTGTTTGCTAAGAGTTAAAAGCACTGTTCATAAAGCTCCATCGACGTGTTGCGTTTTGGTTTGGTTATTTTCTTTTTATATCTTGTCCTATTTTTCCAAACAGGATAAGCCTTTCTTTAATAAATTAACGGTCATAATAGACGTTAGGAGAACTTGTATATAAGCAAGAGGAAGCTGGCTTCTCTGCTTCCTCGTTGGTTCTCCTTCTTCCTCTTTTTCGCGGATCCGACGGCTGAGAGATGTCAGGGAGTTCTTCAAATTTTAGTAATGTTTTGGGAGAAGTTTTTGGTTCTTTGGATCAGTCAGTGATGTTAAGGGTTTCATTCAACAACAGGCCGGTTCTTAATGGATGTGATTTTAGGCCTTCCAATGTTGTTAATCGTCCTAGAGTTGAAGTAGGAGGAGAGGATTTGCGTACTTTTTACACACTTGTAAAGTTTTTTTTTCCTTTCCTTAATTGCTTTACACGTGCTTTACACGTGCTTTCACGTGCATTAATAGAAAATATTACGTCTGTCATGCAGACATGCTAATAATGACGTGGATTGCATTACGCAGTGCGTCTGATAGCGCGGTGCAATACATGTCGTTGACAGCATGTTCGGCTTACCGAACGTAATATTTTGTCATGGATCAGAGCTCTGATAATAAAATAATAAATTTTAATGTGTGATTTTTATAAATATAAATATATATTTTTTTTATTTGTGACTTACAGATCATGGTTGATCTAGACGCGCCAAACCCTAGCAATCCAACGTTGAAAGAATACTTGCACTGGTAATTAAAAGAAAATATTAGGTGCAGAGAACCGGACGTGCGAACAACAATATGGATTCCACCAATCCACGTTATAGTCTGCATCTGCAGACAACACACCTAAAATTTTCTCATAATTAAGGGTCCATTTGGCATCATTTTGATTTTATGCTCTTGTTTTAGTTTTTCTTTTGTTTTTGATTAATCATTATAATTATTAAATTTTTATGTGGAGTTGTGAATCTTGCTATGATGATTTTGATTTCTAACTCCATCAACCAAATAAATAAACAATCAAGTTTTTTTCATTTTACAAGATGTTTTTAGAATATGTACAAGCCAAATTGATTATATATTGGTAATTGGACTTTATTCAATTATATATGTGGAGATATTTTCTTCACCTAAGAGGTGAGATGTTATTGTCCATCTATTCGGACTATGATGCATGGGCTTTAAGCCAAAAACTACATCCCTTCTCTTCATGATCATCATAAAACTAGTTTAGTGAGTTTTTTCAAGTACTTTTCAGTAATTATGAAAATTATTCAAAAAATGTCTCAAAACCTTCAAAAAGTATTTTTTCATTATCATGAAAAAAGGATTAAGACCTAAAAAATTTCAAATACTTTCCATTAATGTCAAGGAATTAACTCCTTTGTAAGAGAGATAATATAAAATGCTCTTATTTATTTTTTTTCAAGAAATAAGAATTGAGTGGAGCTAGGAATAAGTGCTTGAATCTATGATCTAATAATGGATAGAAGTGAAGGTTTGAACCATTTGGTTATCAATGCCCAATTCATCATGTGGTTTGTTCTTTATATCTAGTGCATGTGTAATGATTTTGATTTGTCAAATACATAGGTCATAAAATTCATTATACATGCTATCAATTATTTGTCTCTCTTTTTTATATCTTTTTATATGGACTTTTCGCCTCTTTTGGTTTATGATATATAGGAATATGTCACTATCCTTAATGACAATGATTTTAGAAAGTGTTTATATATATATATATATATATATTTTAAAAGCCCAAGGGCTAATATATTAAAGATAAAAATATAAATATGTTTGTATGGGTGGGCCTAAACACCCAACTCATACGGTACAACACACATAAAAAAAAGTAAAAGATGGGTACATATAGAAATAAAAGAAAAAAATCAAAAAATCACCCAGTCGCTGAAAAAGTGTGGGTCATCCCAATCTAAACTTGCCTCTGGCTCTAGTTTTCGGTAGGGATTCAGCTAGCAGATTGGTAAGGTGCTGACCATTACCCGTAGTAACCAAAGTATCATCCATAAGACTCCTGAGCTCTAGTAGATCTCCATTCTTCTTCTTCCTCCTGGAAGTGTAAAGATAATATTCAACTGTTTAAGAAGATTTACATTCATATCATGTAATTCTTATGTATTTACATGTCCAACCCCAAAGCTTAGATTATAAGCTCTTTGATATGTAAATCTACAAGGCTTGGGGGGCATGCATGTAAATGCCTAAACTATATGGGTGTGCATAATGAAAGTAGCATTGTCTGAATTACATAAAGCTAAAGCACTATCATATTTTTAATTTAATAAGATAAAAATCATATTTTTTTGAAATAAAAAAGCCATTGCAAATATTAAGAACTGAAGATTTCATCTTTTAAAGCATATAAGCATAAGCCTAGCCTCCCTGTTTATTCCTTGGCTTCACTATGCAGGATGGTCACGGATATCCCAGCAACAACTGATGCAAGCTTTGGTAAGTTGGACAATATTAGCTTGTTAATTTATTTTATTCCATGGATAATTATATAAAGACCACTCAAAATATTAATATTTACAAATTAACCCTGAAAATGATTTTCTTGAACCACCAAACCAATGTAACCGCTCAGAATTTGATAAAAAATGAAAAATATGAGTTGGACTTTACCATGAATTTAAAAATAGATGAAAGTGGGTATTAGATTTATAAATATCAAATTTCGGGTGGTCTTTATGTAATTGCCTATATATATATATATATTTTATATATATATAAAATAGGAAATATATAGTAGAATACTTTAGAATACTTAATTATTTATTAATATGAACGACGGTATAAATAACACTTACAAGAATTCTATAATATGAAAAATAGTAAGAAAAATGAAATGATATGAAAAGAAAGATATATCGCATGATATCTCCAATCATTAATCCATATTAATTATTAGGAGATATAAGAAATAACTTAAAATAGGAAAATAAATAATTTTTAATCAAATGAAATAAATATAAAATATGAAAGGAAATATCTCTGTATATTAAGTAAATAATGTGTTCCTCATAACTACTTATAAGAATAAATTATTTCCTACATGCATGCAGGAAGTGAGTTGTTGAAATATGAGAGCCCTCACCCCATGACAGGAATCCACCGCATAGTCCTAGCGCTCTTAAAACAGCAAAAGAGAGGCACAGTTCTGAAGCCAGACTCGCGTGAAAACTTCGATACACAAACCTTCGCTCAGGCTAATAACCTCAAAACTCCGGTGGCCGCCACCGCCTATTTCAATTGTCAGCGGGAGGCCGGCTCCGGCGGCCGGAGGTTCCTCTACTAAGCAGCCATGCTGCCATCGCATGACCTTATATATATATATTTACGTTGTCGTCTAATATTGCATGTTACCATGCATGAACTTGATTGTTTGCATGTTTGTGGTTTGATGTGGTTGAGGTACTGTAATTTCATTAATGTGATGGGATGAAATTCTGTAGCTTGTAATGTTGGTTTTAGTATGGAATAAGTTGTACGTGTGTTAATGCAATGCAATGAGTTTATTAAACTAAAATTTATAGTCTTTATTTTAGAAAATAAGCTTTTTGCGAATAAAAAAATTTAATTTCTATGAATACATTTTCTTATGCGTGCGGAGCAATGCGTGTCATTTCTACTATTAAGTTATGCCCTTATGGATTATATTGGTTAGAATAAGGTTGATTTGATTGAATGATTTTCTAGTTGGACTTAGGGTCTGTTTGGGATAGCTGAAGCTTATTCAATAATTTGCTGATAAGCTGATTAAAAATAATCTGCTGATAAGCTATGTGCGGTAGTTATTATAAATTTTTATTTTTTTTGCAAAGCCAGACCGCTGCCAGAAAGCTGTCACCACATCTAGATAGTTGCGGTGTGAAAACGTTGTTTTCAGTGTTTTGAAAACTCGTAAACTATCAAAATGCAGTTTACCCAAATAGGCCATGTGCGTTTTCAAAATGTCACTGCACCAAATATGCTACCCCAAACAGACCTTAAGTGTTATGGATGTTTATAACCTTGAGAATTCCTTTGAAAGGAAAAAAATGATTTGTTTTCATGAGCTTTATGTTAATTCTAATTATTAATTAAACTTATCATGATTGCTAGTTTTCATATAAGAGTGGTAGGGTCTGGAGCATGAATTTGTGGGGAAAGTAATAATCTTGAAAACGGTAATAAAAAATAATAATAGTTATTTATTGAAGGTAACATTAAGAATTACATACAACCATTTGAAAAATACACTAATATTGTTGAAAGTTTGAATGCGTTACTGATTTTCACCAACAATATTATACTAAAATCAAGTTTGATGATGGTTGAAAAAAATATTGTTCATGGGTGCAAGAAAATTCGTTGTAGAAGAGTAGAAAATTATCGTCTTAGCGTGATATTGAGATTCATTACACACTAATAAGAGAGAAAATAACTAGTAATGATACCAGAAGTTTTTAGTTGGAGCTCCCACAGATCACTGTCAACAAAAAAACACGTTGTATCACTGCTGGATATGAGGAAGAAGGCCACGAATCATTGGTGTGGCTTGGGGGCATGACCACGCTTGGGAACATTCAGGCGAGGCCACACTGAAATCGGGTGTGACCAAGTTTCAGGCATAGCTAAGTCCAAACTAGGCGTGACCACTCCCCTGGAACTTCTAGACATAGCTATGCCCAAGCAGGGCGTGACCATGCTCGAGAACTTTTGGTTGTGGTTGCGTTCGAACCGGCATGGTCATGCTAGTTGAGAGCGGGTGTGTGCTCGCAGCCACGTGTCGACGTGCACATAGGCGAGTGGGCGCATGCAGGCCTGCACGTGAGCGTGTGCACATCTACGTGGGCATGCGTGCTTTTGTGGGTGCTCGAGTTTGCTGATCCTAATAAAAAAGATAACCTTGGCCCACCTTGACAGAGGAAAAATAAAAGATTTTAAAGGCAAGAACGATCTTGCCTTAGTTTGAACAGATTTTGAAACTTAGTTTGACTTGAATTGGTTTTAGAGTTCAAATGAAGGGCTGACTGAATGCGAGGTCAATAGATACCTATGTTGGGTTTTAGTGCTGACAATCATAATGGTGCTCATCTGTACGGTTTTCTATGAAACTATTTGCTTCTTCCTCTACAAGAAGTAGGATATCACTATTAAAATAGGTATTCCCTTTAACACAAACAACAAAGTTATATGTGTTATTTTCTTCAGACCAAGAATTCTTGTGAAACATGTAGTCATTCACCTCAGATGTTTGTCCCATGCAATTAAACCCCTAAACAAGATCTATTAAGCCCTAATATGTAACTCTATGTCTTCAATTATGAACCTATTAGAATTTAATTTTGAATTACATGTCTGTTTGCATCAATTTTTGGATGTCATAGGTGTAGGGTGTCCACCTATGATCGACGAAAATTAGTTATCGCATCGCGCACGAATTTGACTCGAATTGGCCCGATCGTCAGCGAAATAGTCCAAGACAATCCAGAATGACGGAACGGACTGCGCGGTCGCGTTCGGGACGTTGATTTTGCCTAAGGGAGACCCTCGTTTTATTTCGAGGACGTGTTTGACGAAATTGTGCAGAGAGCTTGTAAGGGTAATAATAATAATAATATTATAATAATAATAATAATAATAATAATAATAATAATAATAATAATAATAAATAAAATCTTATCTCTCCCATTCTAATTCAAATACAATCCTCACCCTCCCATGGATATGACAATTGACAATTGAGTTTCTCTCTCATAAAATAAATTAGAAACTTTTTTAATCTTTTTTTTGTTGGAGAGAAACAACGCATCTCTCTCTCAGGGATCGCATCCTATGGCATTTTTTTTTCTTTTCTCCCGCTCCTAGATGAAAAAAAAAGGCTGGCTCCCGCTCAGCATCTCTCGGGTTTTCGCAAACCGCTCGCCCCCTCTCTGGTTTCCCGCTACGTACCCCCCCCCGATGGATCGCGAAACCATCTCCCTTGTTCGCGAAAACCGCCCTTCTGCCTCCGTGGACGATCCTTCTTCTTCGTCTTCTCCTCCTTCTTCTTCTTCTTCATCTTCTTCTTCTTCTTCTGTGAAATTGGGGCAGACCAACCATGCCAACCTCGCCGGATTTTCTTCCTCTCGCCGGCTTTTGCCTTGCCGATGTTGTGTTTTCGCCGGAGTAAAACTGTGAGGAGAAGCTTCAAAATTTTTGGGCTTTCTCCCACACCTCATTCGCTTTCGGTGCTCACCGCCGACAAGCTAGCATCCATCGTCTTGCTTTTCCGGCGACCGGACAACTCGCCGGATAGAGGGCATCAACATCGTTCGGGAGGGTACGAAGGACTTCCACCTCACGTACAAGCTCCCGCCGAACTTCTCTAGGCTTCGTGCAAACCACACGACGGTATAAACCTTCTTCCCTTTCGCATTTTATTTCTTAGTCGGCTTTAGGTTGTAGATTTGATAGGCGTGTGGGTTCGATCGCCCACACGAGGTGTGTGTGTCGGCGTATGTCGGCGCGACGGCACGCCTATGTGATGGATCGATTGTTTTCCTAGAGATAACCTATAAGATATGATCCCCTTTCGCAACTAATTCTCCTACGATAGTCGAGTGAATCCAATTTGACTGTTAGCCCTAGCACAAATATCCTAGAGGTTGGAGCTCCATTCGCTCCCCTTTGCTTTGGTTGTCCCGATCTTTTAGAAATATCGAAAAGTAGATTTTTGTAAAATGAGAAAATGCAAGTCATTAGCTCAATTTGCAAAGCTTGGAGGCGTCGTGAAATCGGAAATAGTGTTGCCGCTAGCCCGTCTCATGACGAGGTGGAGAACCTCCCCCCTTTGGAGACCCAGGGAGAAGTTCCCCACTTACCTCGCCAAAGCAAAGGCGGCAATCGCCATCTTTTTATATTTTGACCCTAGGTTCCTCGGTAAGGTCGTTAGCACAAGAATGACTCCCTATTACATGTAAATGTTTGCATGTTGTATTTTGCATGTCACATAGCACGTCACTTAACCTCGTTAGGCCGCCCCGGTCCAACGAGCATTTCACTTCGCTCCGATCGGCTGCCCCAGCCCGGCGAGCATTTCACTTCGCTTCGTCTAGTCCTCCCAGTCCGACGAGCATTTCACTTCACTCCGATCGTCTGCTTCGGCCCGACGAGCATTTCACTTCGCTCTGATCGACCGCCCGAGCCCGACGAGCATTTCACTTCGTTCCGTCTGACCGCCCCGGCCCGATGATCACTTCACTTCATTTCAAGCAGCTTCCCTGAGCCAGTTGATATAACAATTTAGTTCAACCAGATTCCTCGACCCAGTCGACCAACTACTTGCACCACCATATTGGCTTGCATGTGTGTTTGCATTTTTTTGCATATTGTAGTATACATGAATACATTATTGCATCCCATCTTGCAACTATATGTTTGTATGATCATGATCATATGTCTGAGTTGCACATTACCTAAGGTCACTGCCACTATAGCATGCCCATCTTTCTGGGGCCCTTGATGTCATTGTCGGCACTATTTTTTGGTGTGGGGTTTGCCCGTAAGGAGCCGGGGGGGGCGGGGAGT